TGAAGCCATCATTGCAACTGCACCTAGAGCTTTGAACACATCAGAGGTATTCAATAAGTTGTCCATATGCAACTGCTCCTAGAGTTTTGATCACGTCACAGCTATTCAATAAGTTGTCCAAATGACTCTGCATTGGGAATCAGTAATATTCTATCATGTCCAATCACATAAAATAATGCCACACTTTTTCTGAAAAACCTCACACCAGTCAAGCAATTTTAAAATATTAGTGAATATTTGTCCTAGTCTATATGAGTGATTATATAATCACTTTGCATTTTTTTCACAGTATATGTTAACTTTAGGGATTCCACAAACATATAATATAAAGATAGAAAACAATAGTAGGAGATGAACTAGTACAAAAAATAATATATAACTGGTACAAAATAATGCCATAACCTTGTCACAAACGCACTCACAAATGCTTCTCCATAAACCTTGCCCTAACATATAATAAATAAAGGCAACATTGCATATGATGCAACCATGTCCAAATCTAATACGTGATAAATAAAAAATGGACATGGCAGCAACATATGACTGAAGTAGATGGGCACTTTGCATCTCTTGTTATCGTAATTAAAGGCATCAAAATATTAAGGTTGAAATCTTCCAAAGTAGTAAGCATCAAAATAAGTTTGAAGCAGAGTTTAACGAAAATTCCAATTCCACTGATTTGCCTCTGCTCAAACACGAGAACCAAAATGGTTGCTTCTCTTGCTGAGTATATTTGTTAACATCGGAAATGGTAATAGATGACCAATCAAATCCGGGTACGACGAGTTTTGCATAGGATCGGAAGTAGTTGAATCCAGCTTGCATCACATGCTTCTTTGACTCCAATGCATTAGATGAGTTCTTGTATTTTTGAACAGCTACACTCCGAAGTCGTTTGTGTCTACGCTTCATGCGCTGCAACTTCACCCTATCCAGATTGGCCTGCCTTTTGTCATCTTCAATTTGGCCTTCAACAAATTCCAAATGTGCCCTTGCTTTTTGGATTTCATCACCAAGTTAAAGATGTCTCTCCTTCCAAAAAGCAAGAACTCTCTCAGACTCAAAACTTCCAACAAAATGGTCATTCTGCCTAGGAATGTGACACTGCTTGTCTGGTGACTCACTTGCGTTTTGAAGGTGGTCTTTGTTTGGAGGGGTGTTTATTATGCTCACATCAAACTTGGTTAGTAAATCCATTCTATGGGGGAAAAGAGTTTCTGTGGAGGAGAGAGTTTTAGTAGATGGAGACAGATTCGGTGGAGGAGTGAGTTTTTTGTGGAGGGAGAGTTTCTATGAAGGGGGTGATAGTATTACCAATAAAAGGGTTTCCGCCAAAAAACATTTGGTTGACAATGTATAAATTAATTTTTGGTCTGATAAAATCTAAGTTTAATCCTAATTAGTTTGGTTAGTTTGGTTGGGTTCACTAACTAGATTTCACTTCCATTGAGTTTCTTTCAATCACTAACAGTGGTGCAAGGAGAGTGTGAGGTTGACATGCTTGAAAAGCAAAACCTGACACCTCTTTTTTTAAAATTGAAATAAAGTACATATTTTGACTACACACAAGCTTTGGTATGTTGGTCTATAAAGCTATGTCCCTTTTCTCAAACGAAATTGTATATGCAATCCTCATCCTCTAAAACAAATAGGATTATTCAAGCATGTCAACCTCTTCAGGCACCAACAACACAGTCGAAGATGAAAAATTGGAGTCGCAGTTTCCATTTCCACGTTGTACTCGCCGACCCCTTCCATTTTCAACATCATTTGGGAGTGAGGGGGACTCCGATGATCCATTAGAGGCAATACATGCAGTCAGTAGCAAGCTAGATTATAATTCCAGACTGATCAATTCATGGCACGAGAAATGTGTTGAAGACAAGGCCATTTTGGCTGATCTTAACATTAGAGTGAACAAAGCGTTCTCCCAAAAGAACAAGTACTTGAAGCTGAGTCATAAAAGAAGCTGAAAGCTGAAGAGTTGGATACAGTAATGAATGATGAAATTAAAGGTTGTTTGATGAACCATATGCGATGCGAAGAGCACCATAGTGAACTGGAGTTGGCATTCAACGAAGGATTCGAAAAATTCCGAGCATTTGCGGCAACTACTCATACAAGTTATAATTGGGACTATGTGTCCTCTGATGCTGTGAGAGAGATACTAGACGATGGTGGTGACATGAGTGAGCATAAGCACGTCAAAGCTGCTCAGAAGAAGCCGACCGATACGACTAAGTGATTGCGGCTACCGTTGTTCAGTTGGTTGGGGGTGATCGTGGTATTGCACAAATTAGAAGTATATTCCCTTAATATCATTATCTAATTTAAAATAACACAAATATCAGTTTATTTGCTTCATATATAATTATTGGGACTATGTATTGCAAGTCATCATGTGTTCCTTCTGTCTAATATTATATTTTGCAAATATCGAAATATTATTCAATAAGCTGTCAATATCACAGCACATTGGGAATCAGTAAAGCCCTATTATCATGTTCGTTCACATTAAAGAGCTAGCGTACTTTTTCTCAAAAAACTGACACGTGAGTCATAAGTAACATACCATGTGCTATACATTGTTTAGTGAATGGTTTATGGTTTATTTATATATAATAAAATTCCAAATATTGCTTAATATTTATTTCGTCTATATCATTGGGGACATGAGTGACCATAAGCACGTGAGACCTGCTAAGAAGAAGCTGACCAATACGACCTAGTGATTGTGGCTACTGTTGTTCAGTTGATCGGGGAGATCGTGGTATTGCTAAGAGGGAGCACATAAAATGCTTTGCAATCAAATTTTCTTTTGTGTGTGGAATTATGAGTAGTTCAAATGTTAGTGTACCCTTTAATATTCTCCAACCATTCGAAATGTGATTAGTTGCAATGTACTTTTTTACATGCTGCTTTCTAATCATTCTGTTCCAATAAAGTGCTTCAAGTATCCTTCATTTACGAATGTTTACAAAATCATGCACCTAATAACCAGTCGAGCTCAGATCTTAATAACCAGTAAAACACTAGAACATAACATTCGGAAAAAGTGGGTGTTGCTGGAAATCATTACTGGTAATGGAAACAACAGCTGGCTACTGGAAATGTTGCATTAGCCTGTGATATAATCAATGAATCTCTGTTAAAAACATACAAATTCTTTCCTCAGAATCTCTTTCTTATTTTTCCCCCAAAAGCTGGAATGAAGTCGAATATCAAAGCCAGTCAAGAATGCATATCTATTATAGAAATTATAAACGATGTCAAGCGAGTCGAACTTCATCCCAACTGCTGGTGTTCCTCATTTCTTACTTCAGAATGTAAACCCTCCCATTAGCTGTTACACAGTCATCACTCTCTGAGCTCCCAGATATTTATCCACGTATATTATTTATCTACTTCTATATTACTACATAGCAAATATTAATTCATTAATCAATCATTACTGCATCACAACATATCAATGCATTCCACTTACATAAAACATTGCACAAATTGACACAAAACATGCATAGCCTAGCTTGTTGGATTCCGATTACACAAAATGCTAGAAAAATTTAATAATAGTTACATCATCTCTTGTGAAATAATCTGGAAAAAATAACATTAAAACCAACATGTTCAACTAAGAACACAAATGTAATTCAAACCAGCAATTACATAACTTCACCCATTATCCTCTCCAAATGCTTACTCCTAATGCCATTAAGCCTAAATTTAGGATCTTTTACCTACATTTCATAATTTTCCACCCCCCACCTCCCAAAACAATCAACTAAGTATATTGAATATTCATAAGGAAATGACGCATTATTGAGAGCAAAAATGACGCATTATTGATTCCACAAATACCCATTATTGATGCCACAAATGACGAATTTCCCACCCTTACAAAAAACAAACCAAACCTAACAAAATCAATCCAGCAAGAGTGAACTTACCTCTCAAAGTCAATCGGGAGCTCCGAAATCAGTCAGCTTGAGAGAATGTGGTGGACATTAGAGAAGATTCTTTAGTAGTGGAGAATCCATCTCTACCAAAATCGAGGAACAACTGCTGCTGATGCGTCTAGCTACAAAAGAGATATGATACTTTGCTTTCATCTGGAATCTCGTCTGCTGAACGAAAAAGGAAAGGGGTTTTCACTTGAGCCATAGAATCAAAACAGGGCAATAGCTAGGTAAGAGCCATTAATCGTCATACCGAGGATACCATAGATCGCAAGCCTCCCAAGGAGTTGATGACAATGGAGCGACTATAGGGTTTGGGAGCTTTAGATCTTTCTAATTGTGGGTTTGCATTACATTCAAAAAGAGAGGATTGTGTTCTTCAGTTTTTCACAGAGAGGGAAAAATCTTCAACTGAAGTTGGGTTTCCAACGGGTCAGATTTCAACCCGGTTTTACATGCACCCTCTTTTAAAAACTCACCATTGGATGAAATCCAACGGCTCTTACATACCCCTCAAAAACACCCCTTATAACTTTCCACTCACTATAGAAGCCCTCTTGAGTGAGTGCACCATCATTAACTATTGAGTTCAATGGATTTTATGGGTTTTGCAATCAGAGCCAGTAAACTAACCGAATTTATATTGATACATAGGTATTTCCATATTTCCATGCAAGTGTGCTACTATGCCACCTACATTTAAATCCAACGAAATTTTGTGGTAATTAAAAGAAGTTAATTGAAACAATGACTTTGGAATTTTTTTACTTCAGTCACTGTTCTACTTCTTTAGAATCTAAACTAACAATGTGGAGATAGAAGAGTGGAGATTATTATGAGCGCCAATAAAGCGATGATAAAGAAACAACCTTTACTACCACAAAATGGGTGGTGTAAAATGGGTGTGTGAGTCAGTCTTACTCAAAATGCACCACCGATTTGATTCCCTCATAAAAGAGTCCCTCGGGCTCTGGAGAACCAGACGCTTTTTTCTCTCGCACCTTTCTCTTATGTTGCTTCTAGTGGTAGGTACCACCATTCAAGATGGCGGCTCCAATGGTGGAATTCGTTTTTCCTGCTGGATCTAGTGGATCTGGTAAAGATGGAGTGTGTATTGGTGAGAAAAGAGCTCGTACCCATGAGATGTGTGATGATGGTGGTAGTGATGGTGAGGATTCTTCTCTTCATGTGCCTACTTTGTTGATGAGTTTTAAACATAAGGTTTTTGGTGTCTCTGGCATGGCTGAAGATAATCTAGTTATTGGTGATGGCGATTGTGTGGTTATGAATGGGAATATTCCTTCCATTAAATTCTCTGAGTCAATTAAGGAGTGTCTATATCGTCCTTGGAGAACTTCTGTGACCATCAAGCTTATGGGTCGTCCATTGACTTATAATTTTCTTTGTGCTCGTCTTCTTCAACGCTAAGCCCTGAAGGGTCCAATGAGTTTGATTGATTTGGAGTACAATTATGGAGTATGTGCTTACTGGTGGCCCTTGGCAAATTGCTGGTCAGTACCTTGTGACACAACAATGGAAGCCTGGGTTTAATCCGAAGGAGGACCGTGTTACACACATGACGGTTTTGGTTAGAATCAATGGTCTCAATGTTGAGTATTTCCCATTTGATGTTATGGGGAAAATTGGCAATTTGATTGGTCATACTATCAAGGTCGATCCTCTCACTATGAGCCAAGCTAGAGGTAAAATTGCATGAATTTGTGTTGAACTTGATTTGTCGAAGCCTCTTATTCCTTTCATTGAAGTTGAAGGTCAATCTTATGGGGTGTTTATGAAGGGATTAAGTTGGTTTGCTTTCAATGTGCTGCTATGGGCATGGTAGGGATACTTGTCCTATTATTTTGAAAGCCAAGGCTCAGGCTGCTGAAACTGGAAATGCTAAGGATATGGAGGCTAACACTCTTGCTAAGGAGGATGATCTGGATGCTTTCAGTCCCGAGAAGGTTGGTGAGGGGAGTTCTACGAAACGTCATGGTCAGTGGATGTTGTTGTAGCAGAAGAATTTTAAGAAGAAGTTTCAGAAAGAGCAGGGACCTTTTAGTGTTAATTCTACTAAGGCTTCCCCTCAAATTGAAGGAGGTTTTCAGAATGCATATTCTAGTTCAAGGTTTGTTGTTTTGGACAATGATGTTAATCAAGAGGCTGAAATTGCAGATGAGCCGATTGTGAATTCTTTTAAGTACGAGGTTAGTAAGCCTATGAAGCAAGTGGTTACCCCTGCTAGTGGTTTTGCTAAGTCTATTGGGAGTAACTGACGCAACGAGATATAAGGAATAGGGAGATCGAACGATAACCCTACAAGTAACAATGCCAAAATCCACCAACAAACTGGAATCCACCAAAGAAACTGAGTAAGCCTCAAATATATTGATTGAAAATAAGATGAATAATCTTAGGATGCTCCAACGCATTCCTTTTATACAAGAGAAACCCTAGACTTGCTTGGAAAGCTAATAAGAAACCCTAGACTTGCTAAGAAAGCTAATTAGAAAACAAAAAGGAAAATAATAAAGTTTCCCAAAATATTCTAAAAACTTTAAAAGCTGAAAAGTCAAAATAAACAATTGAATTTGGCTAAAATAGCCCATACATCATAGCAAAGCAGTGAGTTGTATTTTTCACACCGTTCTCCTTGAAACGATAGGTCATGTGTCCGATTCTGAGCTCGAGGTCCATACTTGCAGAGATTCGGCTTTGCTAGCGCGATGACGTGCGCGCTTGTCCACCTGTTCCTCGCTAGAAACGGTGAACAAAAAATCACATTTTTTCCTCTCTTTCTAGATGCTTCATGGCTCGAAATCATGTCTAGAAAATCAGTGGGTTGTGTAGAGGAGGTGGAGAGGAGCATTTTGCAAGCTATGGCATCAAGTTTGGTGGCCAAACGACTCCAGAATCGCCATCAAAAGCGGTGGTGTCGCCCTGGAGAGAGAGAGAGAGAGAGAGAGAGAGAGAGAGAGAAACTAGATTTTTAAACCCAACTTCAACAAATTTACGGTTGTGCTACTGCAATTTCATTGACCATAACTTCTTCATTAAAACTCCAATTTGGGCCCGCTAAGTGTCTACGGACTTGTGAGAGCGAGCTCTATGCAATGGCGCAACTCAATTCCCCAAAATCCTTTCCAAATTAAAAGTGACCAATTTACCCTTACCATTAATGGTAAAAATGTAATTTCACAATTAAAATTTTAATTTAATAATTATTTTAGATCAAGATATTACATCTTTATCGACTTCATACAACTCCTTCAAGAAATCAAATCCCACAATCTCTTGAGCTACGGTAACTAGCATGTTTGCTCTTTGGCTCAAAGCATATGCCACAAGATTAAGGGTACCTAATTTATGTTTAATCACAAAAGGGAATTTCTACAGGAAGGTACTCCACCTTATATGCATCTTGCTCACCAGAGAAATTGTAAGTAAACCTCAAATGTATTGATTGAAAATAAGATGAATAATCTTAGGATGCTCCAACGCATTCCTTTTATACAATAGAAACCTTAGACTTGTTTGGAAAGCTAATGAGAAACCCTATACTTGCTAAGAAAGCTAATTAGAAAACAAAAAAGAAAATAATAAAAGTTTCCCAAAATATTCTAAAAACTTTAAACCTTGAAAAGTCAAAGTAAACGATATAATTTGGCTAAAATAGCCCATATGTCACAACAAAGCAATGAGTTGTATTTGTCATGCCATTCTCTTCGAAACAATAGGTCATGGGCTGATTCTGAGCTCGAGGTCCATGCTTGCACAGATTAGGCTTTGATGGTGCGACGACGTGTGCGCCTATCTAGTTGTTCCTCGATCAACTCGGCCATATGTTCTACATCAATAACAGAAATGAGGTTGGGAAGAGAAATTCTCTTGCTAAGGATTCTAAGGTGTGGGTTTTCAAAAAACCTTTGAAAGACATTACTAATGCTAAGTTGGAGAAGAGCAGTATTGTGGGTTTGAAGCCTAGTTTTGGGTCTAAGAACATTGGGAAGGCTAGGTTTGGGCTAATTTGAATGTTGGAGTGGTGGGTATGCAAGTTCGAGGCTCTGATGTGCAAGATGATGTTCATGGCTTGTTCTCTTTTAATATGGATGTTGCTTTTTCATCTGCGGATTTTCGGGGTGCTAATGTTGTGTTGCATGACCCTGAGCCTCCTGATATTGGTTAGATGGAGCTGAATGAAGGTGAGTCTCATTTGGTTAAGTCTAGTGTTTCCAATGAGGATGAGCATGATTCAGTTGGTGATGCAGTTGGTTTGGCTAGTATGTTGATTGATTTTGATGCCTCTAATGTTGAGGCTAAGCAAAGGTTGTTTTTAATGAGGCTTTCCCTCTCTTTGTCCTCCTTTTACATATCATTTTTGTGATAATTGTTTCTTGGAATATGAGAGGTGCTAGCAAGGTAAAGTGTGCCAGTACCATTAGGGACTTAAATAAGGGTTATGGTATTGATATTTTTGTTGTGCTTGAGCCTAGAATTGGTGGTTCTCGAGCTCTCTCTATTGCAAAGGGTTATGGTATTGATATTTTTGTTGTGCTTGAGCCTAGAATTTGTGGTTCTCGAGCTCTCTCTATGGCAAAGAGTTTGGGATTTTCTCATTATCATATTGTGGATCTCATTGGTTTTTCTAGGGGTGTGTGGCTACTTTGGAATGGAAGTTCTGTTTCTTTACAAGTTGCTGCGCATTCAAGTCAAACCATTACTCCTTTAGTCACTATGGATGCTAAAAGGTGGTTGCTAATAGTATTTTATGCTAGTCCTTGTTCTAGTGTGAGAACTTCTCTTGGAAGTATTTAGATGGGTTGGCTGCTGTTTGTAATTTACCTTGGTTGTTGCTTGGTGATTTTAATGATATTGTTTGTGGTGAGGAGAAGAAAGGTGGTAATTTGGATGTTGGTGGTCAGCATTTTATTAAGTGGATTTATAGGAATCATCTTGTTGATTTGGGTTTTTCTGGCTCTAATTTTACCTGGTGTAATAAAAGGGATGAAGAGGATATTATTTAGAGACAGCTTGATAGAGGTCTTTGTAGTATTGATTGGAGATTTTTGTTCTCTGAAGCTCACTTATCTCATCTATTAAGGGTGAATTCTGATCATTGTCCTATCATGGTTAAGTTTTTTTCTAACCATCTTCCTACTACATAATCTATGCCTTTTAGATTCCAAGCAATGTGGTTAAGTTATCCTAGGTTTTTTTGAGTTCATTTATGGTTTGTGGAATTCTGGTACAGGCCATGCTGTTCAAAAGTCTGCAGCATGGGAATAAACAGGTGTTTGGGTATCTTTTTCACAAGAAAAGAAGGATTTTGGCTCGTCTTGCTGGTATTCAAAAAAGCTTATATATGCAGTTTAATCCTTTCCTTAGTCAATTGGAAAATGATTTGACTACAAAGTATAATCTCATTCTTGATCAAGAAGAGATGTTTTGGTTGCAAAAATTTAGAAACACCTGACTTAAGGAAGGTGATAGGAATACAAATTTTTTTCATCTTTCTACTATTATTAGAAGGCACCGAAATAAATTAGAAGGGTTGACTAATGATGCTGGAGAGTGGATTTCTGAGAAAGAAGGTATAAAATAGATTGTTATTCATTATTTTCGAGGGCTATTTAGTGAGCCTGCTTTATCTGATGAGTATTCTTTGTTTCCCAAGTATTTTTCTTAGCTTGAGCTCTCTGATTGTACAAGGTTAAATGGTGAGGTTTCTAATGTGGAGATTCAAAGTAGTTTATTTGCTATTGGTGGGTTGAAAAGGCCTAGCCCTCATGGGTTTACTGCTCTTTTTTATCAAAAGTATTGGAATCTTTGCTCTAGGGATATCTTTTCTCTTGTCAGAGCTTATCTCCATGAGCACCTTAATGATACTTTAATTACTTTGGTTCCTAAGGTTGAAAGGCCTCTTAATATGGCTCAACTTAGGCCTATTAGTTTATGTAATATTCTTTATAAAGTATTTATAAGATTTTAATTTCTAGGCTTCATCCTATTATGACTAAAATTGTTAGCCCCACTCAAGTCAATTTTGTACTAGGTAGACATATAGCTGATAATATTGTGATTGCTCAGGAGATGCTTGATAATTTCAAGATTGCTAAAGAGAAAAAGGGTTTTATTGCTTGGAAAATTGATCTTTCTTAGGCCTATGATCATTTAAGTTAGTCCTTTATTAAAGAGGTTGTTTGTGAAATTGGTGTTGGGGGAATAGTTTTGGAGCTCATCATGCATTGTATTAGTTCTATGCAGTATAAAGCTATTTTAAATGGTGAGTTAACAACTGATTTCTCTCCTAAGTGTGGTATACGACAAAGAGACCAAACTTGGAAGCTGTGCAGAAAATTCTTGACCAAATTTGGAAGACTATGCATTTTTGCCAAAGAGGGCCCTTTGTCTCTCATTTATTTTTTGCTGATGATTTGGTTTTGTTTGAGAAAACCTCTATAGAGCAGGCTTTGGTGATGAAGCTGTGTTTGGATAATTTTTGCTCCCTTTCTAATCAGAAGGTCATTTTGAAAAGTTTATGGTTTGTGTGTCCCCTAGCACTTGTCTTGTTTGGCTCAAAATATTACCTCTATTAATGGTTCTCTTTTATCAGATAATCTTGGTAAGTATCTCGGAGTTCCTTTAATTCACACTAGAGTTACCAAAGATACTTATCAGGAAATTATTGATAAAGTCCAAAAACGACTCTCTTCTTGGAAAAGCCACAATTTTTCTATGGCTGGCAGGTTCACGTTATTGCAATCAGTCACCTCTGCTATTCCTATATATTCTATGCAAACTGCTATGTTGCCTGCTTCTGTTTGTAACAAGGTGGATCAGTTAAATAAGAATTTTCTTTAGGGCATGCCTTTGTTAAGGCAAAGGTGCATCTTGTGAATTGGGAAACTGTATGTAAGTCTAAGTGTGCTGGTGGTTTGGGAGTAAAGAAGGCTGCTTGTATGAATCAAGCGTTATTAGCTAAATCCAGTTGGAGAATTCTTTAGAATGACCAAGGTCTTTGGGCCAAAGTTCTTAAGGCTAAATATTTAAAGCACTGTGATATATTGTCTGCTAATGAGCATCAGTTTCATAGTTGCTCTAGCTGAACAAAGCTAAACGGATGCAATGTGTTTATGAAGTTTTACAAGCTGATACACATCATAGCACCTCCTAGTATATCTTGGTATTTGTATTAGTTTTATGGTAAATTTATTTATGCGATGGGGTAAGATGCATGCGTAGCTACACCACATAGACCTCTTTTGCATAAACATCTCTTTGCATCCTCATGTACCCTTTGCGGGAACCTAATTAAATCAGAATCCTAGGTCAAATAATTCCTTCCATTTGGGGATTATTTGACCTAATTGGAAATTATTCAACTTAATTGGGAGTTACTCAATTTAATTGGGGATTACCCAATTAAATGGAATGTTACCTAAGTAGGTTGAGAATTGATTTGATTCCTACCACAATTCCCAATTAAGTGAGGAGTTACCTAATTAAATTAGGAATTGATTTGATACCTACCACAATTAGGGATTTGATTTACCGTAATAAATCAAATCCCTAATTAATCAAATCAATTCCAAATCAGGGAGGAATAATTCATTTCCATCTAAGGAATTATTCCTCTAAAACCCTAGCTTCCTTGACCACTATAAAAAGATGGTCACACACAAGGGTTGAGGTACGTCTAAAATCTCTACGGAAACTCTACATAAAATTCCTCTCAAACCCTAGTCACCTCCTCTCTCTCTCTCTCTCTCTCTCTCTCTCTCTTTTACAGAAGGCTCCGGCCGCCCAGTTTACACCATAAACACATCTCCATACCCTAGTTAGCTAGTGTTTTCTTACAAACCCTTGAACTAATTTAGGCATTGGAGAGCCTTTGGCCAACACCCCCCGAGTGTGGTCCTCTTATTTGTTCTATTTTGCAGGGAGAAAGAGGCGGCCAAGAAGGAAGGGGAATCTTTCCAATCGAATATTCTCGTGGGGAAATTTGCTCACACACCCTTCTTCACCCCAATCCGTGGCCCATGAGTTTTTCAGCAACCAATATTTTGTGCCATCGTCACTGAAGCCATAACCAATTACGGTAACACAATGATCCATTTCTAGTCCACATGATCCTGCAAAAACTCCACTTGTATAGTATAGGAAATCGTTTTCTCCAGCATCAATGCAAACAGAAATAGGTTGGTTAGAAACAGCCTTAAGAAGGACTTCCTCATTGCTTGCGGGCACATCTTCGTAGCCAGTTATATTGGCTGCGTGGGTAGCTTGGGTGTTGCATCTACTGTCAACACCCGTGTAGTTGTAACTAGCCTTGGAGCTAAGGCCATTGTTTTGATTGATGAACTCTGTTGATGCTCTTTGTGGGGAGGGTCAACTTAGGTAGAGAAGTGTAGGATCTTCAACAGCGAGGAAGGTGAGGACCTTCAGAGTTTGAAGAACCTGCAGAAGATAAGAAGGAAGAAGCAGTTGTCAAGCTTCGAACACCGGTGTGGTGCCTGCCTGTGAAACCCCGTATTTATAAAATTATATAGTTTGAAGATTTAATATTTTTCCATTTAATTTATATTATATATATATGTTGTTATATTCATTATATATATGTGTGCAATTTTCACTATTAGTTTATATATATATATATATATATATATATAAGAACCCATATTATTTGCATGGTAGTGTGCACGTTGAGTGATAGATTTGAATAAATCTATCTTATCACGAATTTTATTTTATTGAAACCTTAATTAGGAGGTAAGTCTTAAAGGATATTTGGTAAGAAGCATGAGGTGGACTCATTAGCATGAGGTGTTGGATCAAGAGTTTGATAGCTAGAGTTGGTGCTACCATTCTTGCTAGGTGGCGGGACATTGCAAGATTAAAGATAACTTCAAAGTTGTTGTTATCCTATATTGTTGCCGCCAAGAGTATTAACCAATGATAGAAGGATAGTTGCCGACTTTATTCTAGTATAAATAGGAAGCTTACAAGTTGTTTACTACTACTTCCAAAGATAACAAACATGTAACGTGAGAGAGAGAGAGAGAGAGAGAGAGAGAGAGAGAGAGAGAGAGAGAGATGATGATGATGATGATGAAATTCTTGGAGGAGATATAGAGCTTAGCTTGTATTTTCTTAAATTGGAGCAATGCTTTGGAATCGAGGTAGGAATTTCTTGAGAAGCCTTTACGGAGATTGATTTAATTAGATTTCGTGAGCTCTATAATTGTATAATGTTCTTGATATGAGATATTTACGTATTGTGAACTATTTGAATAATATTGGCATAATTATATCATGTCATAGTAATTGGTTGGAGTTGTTGGGTTGAGAAAATAATGATGGAAAAGAGGGTAATGGGAATGATCTTTTGTGTAGTTGAGTCTAACCATTGTAGGGACGAAGTCCAGGCGAGCCCGTGTGCACAGTAGATTAGGAAATCGGCGGTATAATTGTCGATTGGGTGATTTGGGATTGGAGATCAATGGTGTAGACAAGATGACTAGCAAAAGGGGAATTATGGGATATTTGAGATGGGTGTTAGTTTATGTAATGGGGCATTCGGAATCACAGTGGTAAAATGCATGGTATGGGACATGTAGATTTGCTTGTCCTATTATATAAATTAACAGGTTGGGTAGAATTAAAGAGCATTCATGTATTATTATTATTATTATTATTAATGTGATATTTTGTTGTGTGATTGCATGTCGCTTAATTTAGTTATATCAATCTACTGTGGTAAGGTCGCATGTCCCTACTGAGCTGTGGTTGCTCACCCCTCACCCTGTTTAATTTTTCAAATGAATTAGTGGGTAAGAAAAGGACTAAATCGATTGAGATTGAAGTAGATGAGAGTAGTAGAGTTTTATTTATTTCCTGTAAAGTTGTAAGCTGTTTTTATAAGAGAAGTTTAATATTAAACCCATCTTTCGGCTTTCTTTTTATTTTATTTACTCACGCGCCGGGCGCGGGATTTCCACCGACCCCCGGGTCCGGGGCGTGACACTGCCAAAGGCTCTCTGATGCTTAAGTCAGCTATATGTGGTAATTTTGGCAGAGTAACAGTAAATGTGAGAAAATAGTTACCCTTTCTACTTGGGCATTGTTCCCTATTTATAGGGAAGTGAAAATGGGAGTTTTGCACAAAGTTTCGATGTGGGACTTTGTGCAAAAACGTTGTGGAGGTGACACGTGTCCCTGGGAATTAGGTTCGGCAGTCGGGAGCTTCGGCAGGTGGCTGCCCCTTCAGAAGAGTGTCTTCCTTAGGCAAGTCAGAAGGTAATGACGTCAGTCACTTTCTAGGGATTTGTCTGTGTGTCCCTTTGGGGTATCTCAGCAAGGGAAAAGACGTGTCTGCCTTAGCACCAGTCGTTTTGATGCTGGATATGCTCGGTTGATTATGGTGTAAACAAACTCAAAGGCACCATCGGGCCAGCCACCGCCACATCCTAGGTCTTCGCCATTGGTGTCACAATCAACCACCTCTTGCTCTAATAAAGAGATTAATTTACCAGTTGTAAGCTATGTAATTCCTTCAACGGCTGCCATTGCTGCAAAAGCCCAACAACTTCCTGCATATATAAGTTTTGTTGCAATTAAATAATATCTAGAACTAAAACAATTGAAAATATTCCAGAAGAAGAATAATTTCGTCTTATAAATAAAAATTAGAGGCTTACCACATTGGCCTTGGTCCTTCATAGGTGTTACAGCTCCTTTGCCTCTCCAATCAAAGGTAGCTGGTACAAATGTCATATTTTCATATTTGAAAGAAGTAGTCTTTATGGAGTACTCACGCCCTCTGAATCCATTTCTTGAGGCTTTCACTTCTTCATTCGTTTGGTCTGCAAATTGATTTACACTTAATTTGTAAGATTTGTTTACATCGCTATTAGAGGATTCTATGTATGCCACATTCTTCTTGAATATCTTAAAACGCTTCTGCTTCTCATTAACATCATTGTATTCACGTCCATAACAAACCATCCATTGTTCGTATCTTTCGTACATTGATGCATCTTGGAGGTTACGAGAAGTGGCTTCACTAGATCAAGTCCCCAACATAAGGATCAAGACCAAACAAACACATGTCCACAGTTGCTTAATGAACTCCATTGTATAGCTAGTATTGGGAGAAGCTAGGGTTTGGTAAAGTAAATGAATCAAAGTGCAGTTTAAATAGTGATTTGATGACCTTACTGTTGAGAGTTAAGCTGCATACTAGTTTTGAATCAAGCTGCAGATGTTAATCCTGCAGATTAATAGTGAAGAGAATAAAGAAATCAAAGGAGCTGAAGAACTTTCCTTTCTTGGTAATAGTTGTTATCCAACGGCTAGTTTTCTTACTATTTTAGGAAAGTCTACAGCTGTAATTCTTAGCTGTTTTAGTCCTTCATGCTGTAACAATTTCTAGCCTAGGTGTAAGAATCATAGCCTCCAATGACCTTGAATGGCTGGAGATGAGTCCTTGTGTCCTAGTTTTTAGGATCTGTTTTTTTGGCAGCTTGTGTCATGCATATAGTGTGTTTTTGGCTCTGATGCAGTACAATGAAAAATAGACAGAATCATTCTCATTCTCTCCGAGCTTTTCTCTACTCTGCATACGTTGCTTACAAAAGGTTTTATTTGTTCTGTAAATCAGTCACTAAAACCAGCAAGCTAAATACCAAATTCTAACATGGTATCAGAGCTCCTGGTATGATTTCATAGAAGGGGCGTGAGCTGTGATAAAGGGGGTTTTCCTGAAATCTCTATAAGGGATAAAGGTTGCTCTTTTATTGTGTGGTTCACTGAGACTCACATCAAAATGGTGGGATCAGGTTCTGCAGGTGGAGATTTATGAACTCCACAGTTCAATGGTTCAAACTATGATTTTTGGTCAGTAAAAATGGAGACTATCCTCATAGCATATGATTTATGGGATGCAGTGGAGATTGGAATACAACCACAGCCGATTATTGAGCAGGAAGCAGGCTCTGAAGGCACTGGAGATGAAGAGAGTGAGGCTGAGGAAATTCCAGTGGAAGCACCTACTATCTCCAGAGAAGATAAGATCAAAAATGCCAAGGCTTTGAGTCTTATTCAAGGAGCACTAACAGATGAACTCTTTCCACGCATCAAAAATGAGAAGACTGCAAAAGGTGCTTGGGAAATTCTAAGAAGAGAGTTCAGAGGAGATAAAAAGGTAAGAGCTGTGAAATTACAAGCTATTAGAGCTGATTTTGAATATTTGAGAATGAATGATGTTGAATCTCTGGATGACTACTTGGCTCGATTTTTGAAACTGTAAACAACCTGAAATCTCTAGGAGAAGATGTAACAGAGAAAAGGATTGTTCAAAAATTGTTGATGAGTCTAAGTAGGAGGTACAAGTCCATAGTGTCAATCATTGAAGAAACCAGAGACCTTGGCACTATTAGAGTTGAAGAAATTCTTCCATCTGTCAAAGTCTATGATAAGAGAGAGGATCTACATGATGAAAGGGATGAATTGGCAGGAACTGAGAAAGCTTTTAGCAGTCTTAGAGTTGGAAATCATCAAGCTTCTAGAGCTAACAAAAGTTCTCAGGGAAAGCAAAATCAAAAATGGCAAGGACAAAACAAAAAGGGCTCAAATTGGTCTCAAGGTGGAAACTTTAACAACGATAATGGCTCAAATTGGAATAATGGCTTTGGAGGGAATTGGAACAACAGTTTCAATTCACAAAACAAGCAAGGAAGTAGCAGTCAAGGAGGTGTGAAACCACAGTGCCAAGTCTGTCAGAAGTTTCATTTTGGTGTGTGCAGGCACAAAGGCAAACCTAGATGTGGAAAATGCAATAGGTTTGGTCATTTAACTAAGGACTGTGACAACGGCAAACAAGTTGCAAACTGTGCAAAGGAAGAAGAGGTAACCACAGGAACAATGTTCTATGCTTGTCATGCAAGTTCAATTGCATCAAGCAAGTCTGTGTGGTTTGTTGACAGTGCTTGCAGCAATCACATGACCTCTCAAGAGTCCTTGTTGATCAATCTTGATAGGTCAGTGACCTACAAAGTGAAAATGGGCACTGGTGACCTTGTTCAAGCCACAGGAAAAGGGACACTAGTAGTTGAGACAAGAAAAGGGAGAAGATATATAAATGAGGTGCTATTAGTCCCTGATTTGGATGAGAATTTGTTAAGTGTAGGACAAATGATGGAGCATGGGTACTACAATCTATTTAGAGGAAACTATGCATTAATATGTGATGACAGCAGCCTTGATAATGTTGTTGCCAAAGTAGCAATGGCTGGAAATATATGCTTTCCATTGTCTATGGAATCTATCTGCTCAATGGGAATGAAAGCAGCAATGCAAGAAGATCCATGGGTTTGGCATAGAAGATTGGGGCATTTGAATTTTGCAAGCATGAAAAAAATGCAGCAAACACAAATGGTGTTAGGCTTACCTGATTTCTCAGAAAAAGGAGTATGTGAAGGCTGTGTGTATGGTAAAAGCCATAGAAAACCATTTGAGAATGAGAAGCCTTGGAGAGCTAGGAATCCACTTGAGTTGATACACACGGATGTATGTGGTCCAATGCAAAATGAGTCCATTGGAGGAAATAAATACTTCATCACATTCATTGATGACTATTCAAGAATGTGTTGGGTATATTTTCTCAGAAACAAGTCAAGTGTGATAAGTGTGTTCAAAAAGTTCAAAGCTTTTGTTGAGCTACAAAGTGGATTCAATTTAAAGAAACTAAGAAGTGACAGAGGTGGAGAATACACTTCACATGAATTCCTTGAGTATTGCAGTGATCTTGGCATGGAGAGGCAATTGACTATTGCCTACTCACCTCAGCAAAATGGGATTGCTGAAAGAAGAAACATAACCATTTGTGAAATGGCAAGATCAATGATGACTGAGAAGAAATTTCCTGTATAGTTCTGGGCTGAAGCAATTGGTACTGCTGTGTATCTGCAAAACAAGTGCTATACCACTTCAGTTATAGACAAAACTCCATTTGAAGCTTTTACAGGAAGAAAACCAGGTGTAAAACACCTGAGAGTGTTTGGAAGTATCTGTTACAGTCACATTCCATCAAACCTTAGACAAAAGTTTGATGACAAAGCAAGCAAAGGAATTTTTATGGGTTATGGCAGCTATGAGAAGGGTTACAGGATCTATAATCTTCAAACTGAGAAATCATACTCTCTAGAAGTGTTGTTTTTTATGAGAACAAATCCTGGAATTGGGAAAGCAAGCAAGATGAAACTGTCCATGTGCCTCTCATCTTTGAAAATGGAAGTTCTGAGATAATTGAAACAGAAGAAACCTCTCATGAAACTCACAGCATTGCTTCACCAAATCTGAATCAATTAATCTCAAATAATGAACATGTCTCTGAAAGCAATGGCAGTGGTACCAGTCAAGGGTCAACTCCAAGCAATACACCAGTAAAGCTGAAAAGTTTGGAGGCCATTTATGCAAGATGTCACATGACCATTATTGAACCTGAAACTTATTATGAAGCTGTTGAAGACAAAGCATGGAAGGAAGCAATGGATGCTGAGATTGAAACTATTGAAAAGAATGGAACTTGGGAGCTAGTGGAAAGGCCTACAAATAAACCAGTCATAGGAGTCAAATGGGTGTTCAAAACCAAGCTGAACCTTGATGGAACAGTTCAAAAACACAAGGCTAGGCTTGTAGCTAAAGGGTATGCTCAGAAACTTGGTATTGATTATAATGAAACCTTTGCCCCAGTGGCAAGGTTAGATACAATTAGAACTTTGATTGCACTTGCAGCACAAAAGGGTTGGAAGTTGTTCCAATTAGATGTTAAGTCAGCCTTCTTGAATGGAGTACTTGAGGAGGAGGTTTATACTAAGCAACCAGAGGGGTTTGAAGTGAAAACAGCAAGTCATAAGGTCTATAAATTGAAGGCTCTCTATGGTTTGAAGCAGGCTCCCAGAGCCTGGTATAGTGAAATTGACACCTATCTAACTAGCTGCAAAGAAGTACCAGTGAGGCCACCTTATATACCAGAACTGATGAAGAAGGAAAACTGATCATTGTCTCTATATATGTTGATGATATAGTTTATACTGGAAATAGTAATGCTTTGCTCAGTGCGTTTAAAAGGGACATGATGCAAAAGTATGAAATGACTGATTTAGGACTCCTACATCATTTCTTGGGAATGGGAGTTCTACAAACTGAAAATGGGGTTTATTCATCAAAGCAAGTATGCAAAGTCCTTGCTTGTGAAGTTTGGTCTCGAGGATTGTAAGTCAGTAACAATTCCTCTACCCACTGGTGAGAAACTAAATAAAATTGATGGAAGTCAGTTGGCTGATGAAGGGTTGTTTAGAAAAATTGTTGGCAGCCTGTTGTATCTGACTGCAACCAGGCCTGATATAATGTTTGCAGCCAGTTTGTTATCAAGATTCATGCACAGCCCCACAAAGAAGCACATGGGAATTGCTAAAAGGGTTCTTAGATACATTCAAGGCACTCTCAGCTATGGCATTGAATTTACAAGGGACAAGAATGCTGTTCTGATTGGTTTTTGTGACTCTGATTGGTCTGGCAGCGAAGATGACAGTAGAAGCACATTTGGATATGCATTCAGTTTTGGTAGTGGAATTTTCTCATGGGCTTCGGTCAAGCAAAACACAGTTGCATTGTCAACTGCAGAAGCTGAATACGTCTCAGCAGCTGAGGCAACAGCTCAAGCTATCTGGCTAAGGTTTGTGTTGGATGATTTTGGTGAAATGCAACCTGATGCAACACCATTGTTTTGTGACAACATTTCAGCAATATCAATGGTCAAAAATCCTGTTTTCCATCAAAAAACAAGGCACATAAACCGAAGGTATCATTTCATAAGGGAAGCTTTACAAGAAGGGGTGATCGATATAAAATTCTACAGAAGTGAAGAACAGTTGGCATATATTTTTACAAAGGCTCTGCCCAAAGATCAATTCAATTATTTGAGGTTGAAACTTGAAGTTAAACCAGTAAGCAGCTTAGGAGAGGCTGTTGAGAGTTAAGCTGCATACTAGTTTTGAATCAAGCTGCAGATGTTAATCCTGCAGATTAATAGTGAAGAGAATGAAGAAATCAAAGGAGCTGAAGAACTTTCCTTTCTTGGTAATAGTTGTTATCCAACGGCTAGTTTTCTTACTATTTTAGGAAACTCTACAGCTGTAATTCTTAGCTGTTTTAGTCCTTCATGCTGTAACAATTTCTAGCCTAGGTGTAAGAATCATAGCCTCCAATGACCTTGAATGGCTGGAGATGAGTCCTTGTGTCCTAGTTTTTAGGATCTGTTTTTTTTGGCAGCTTGTGTCATGCATATAGTGTGTTTTGGCTCTAATGCAATACAATGAAAAATAGACTGAATCATTCTCATTCTCTCCGAGCTTTTCTCTACTCTACATACGTTGCTTACAAAAGGTTTTATTTGTTCTGTAAATCAGTCACTAAAACCAGCAAGCTAAATACCAAATTCTAACACTTACTATCTCGGAGTCCCCAAACAATATCTGCAATCTTATTTCGTCGCCTAGTAAAAGTTCTTATATGAACCCTGCTGTCAGATTAATAGTAAATAAATGGTTTCATAATAAGAACTGTTGGGAAGAATATCTGTTTCCTTTAAGAACCCAGTGATTTTACCATTCCAAATTGATGAGGGTATTCATACTCCAACAAAAAGAAACTGAAAAAGCTTTTCACAAATGGCTAAGTTTTCTTACAGCCACAGTACATATCTTATAAAGTATTTTACACATACAAGTACATATCATAGTACTTACAAACCATATAGTAGGCATTGGTTTAATTTTAAGCTAAGCAGTGGGGTAAGAGGCTTCCATAGCAATGCCACATAGACCTTCTTTTGCTTCAACATCTCTTTGCATCCTTATGTACCCCTCTTCACCCCATTCTGTCCCCCATGAGTTTTTAACCAACCAATACTTAGTCCCATCATCGCTAACGCCATAACCAACAGCGGTAACCCCATGGTCAAGGCTCGTTCCACAGGATCCTGTAAAGACACCACTTGAATAGAACTGGAAATCGGAACCTCCAGCATCGATGGCAACAGAAACTGGTTGATGAGCAACAGCGGTTAGAAGGGCTTTTTCGCTGTTTGCAGGCACATCTTCATAGCCAGTTATCTTGGCTGCAATGCTTGCTGCTTTCTTGGTATTGCATGAACCATCAACACCATTGTAGGGTAATTAGCTTCAGCACTAAGCCCATGGTTTTGTTGGATGAACTGAAAGGCATCATCCATCAAGCCACCCTCACAACCTTGGTCTACACCGCTGGTGTCACAGTCAACTAGCTCTTGCTCAGACAAAGAGATCAGTTTACCAGTTGTAAGCTGAGTAATGCCTTCGGTCGCTGCCACTGCCGAAAAAGCCCAACAACATCCTATTTTTTCATTGCAATTAATAGTAGTTAGAATAACATAAAAATATTACTAAACTCCAAAAGAAGAGTATATAGTGTTACTATAAATGATTAATAATAATGAACCTAGACGATTAATTACCACATTGGCCTTGGTCCTTGATGGGGGTTACAGCTCCTTTCTTTCTCCAGTCCATTGCAGCTGGCACTGGCGCCTTAACATTTTCATATTTAAAAGAAGTCGTCTTTGTGGAACATTCATGCCCCTTGAATCCATTTCTTGAGGCTTTGAACTCTTCATTCGTAAGGTCTGCAAATTGATTAACACCCAACTTGTAGGGTTTGTTCACATCGTTATTCGATGATTCTATAAACGCCACATTTTCTTTGAATATCTTGAAACGATTCTCTTTCTCATTAACATCGTTATATACACGACCATAACGAGTCATCCATTGTTCGTATCTCCCATACATAGATGCATCTTGGAGACTGCGAGAGGTGGCTTCACAAGACCAAGCCCCGAACATGAGGATCAAGCCGAAACCAATACATTTCCATAGCTCCATGATATAGCTAGTGTACTAGAAGCAGCTGGGCTTTGAATTTGATAAAGTAAATGATATGAGCAGGTGTACCGAAATGGTAGACTGGTCGCAATTTATAGAGTATTGATTCCACTGAATGACCATGCCATGCCCTCTCCGTGCCCCAAAAAATGATCTGCAATTTACGTGCCCTAGAAAATGTTCAGATATGGACCTCTAATTTTTAAAATACAAATTTATAAATAAATCCAATCCTAGACATGTATTTATAAAAAAACCCAAGCACTATTTAAACATAGAAACACACCCAAAATCAACCCCAAAGTCAACTTTTTGGGTGTGTTTATAAATGGGTTTTGAGTGTGTATAATGATGGGTTTTGGGTGTGTTTATAAAGTGTTTTGGGTGTTGGGGTTTTTTATAATTTCAACCTCCATTTTGGGTGTTTTAGTGAAACTCCCTTTTTAAAATATAGCTCACATATTTGACCTCTAATTCATTTTGATATTATATATATATAATATATACACAAGGGACCATCAACTATATGGGATCTTAAACTTAATTATTTCATATTATTGTTGTTAAATTTTAAACAATTTGAGTTTGAGAATTATATGCACAATTCATTGACTATTGTTTTGTTATGTTCGAAGGTAACCAATTTTTTGTCCAAAAAGCAACAAGGCAACCAATTCTGCTAAGTTTTGAGCCTATTTTTTGTTCGTCCTGGTAAGGAAAATTGGCAGCTAGCCCTCTTATTCTTTTTGGGCCCTAAGCATATATTTTTTAGCCCTAAGAAGGTATAGTCTCATTTAAGGCCCTCATCGGGAATGGCCTTAGTGACGACAGGGTGTGGGGTGTGGGTTTGAGTGAGTGCACCATCATTAACTATTGAGTATAATGGATTTTATGCGCTAACCGAATTTATATTGATGCATTGGCATTGCCATGTAAGTGTGCTACTGTGCCATCTACATTTGAATCCAATGAAATTTTGTGGTACTTAAAAGAAGTTAATTGAAAGGGATAATTGTCGAAATGTCACCCGAACTTATACTTCAGTTTCAATTTGTCACCTTAAAGAAAAATTTAAGAGAAATGTCACCTTAAATTTTTCAAAATCCACGACTTGTCATTTGAATTTAACAACCATCCAATTTTCCATCCATTTTTAAGGGTGTTTTAGTTTTTCTATTTTCAAGAGAAAAAAGAGACCTCTCTCAACCTTTCTCCCCCACCTACCCCAAAACACATCGCATAGGAACCCTCTCCCCCCCTCCCCCCCTTTTCTCTCTAACCATGTATAAAATACCCTTTAAAATGGATGGAAAATTGAATTGTGTTAAAGTCATATGACAAATCATGGATTTTGAAAAATTAAAATGACATTTCTCTTAAATTTTTCTTTAAGGTGATAAATTGAAACTGAGATATCAATTCAGGTGACGTGTCTACAAAAATCCCTAATTGAAACAAGGACTTTGGAATTTTGTTTAGTGTATCGCAAGTTACTTCAGCCACTGTTCTGCTTCTTTAGAATCTAAACTAACAATATGGAGATAGAATAGTGGAGAGATTATGAGCTTGCCAATAAAGCGATGATAAAGAAACAACTTTTACTACAACAAAAGCCGATTCTTTCTTAGTGGTTATAGACTGTACTCATAGTGCAAGAAGAAGGAACCCAATTCCCTAATCTCCTTCTTCTTCTTTTTGTTTTTATAATACGTCAATCCCTGTGGTGGGCTTAAAAGTTTTGCTAAATACAAATCAGCTGACGACCCACAAACCTACACCATCATGTTATCCTCTTCTGCTTGATTCTCATGAAAGGAAAATACTTCATTTACTTCCACACACTTGCCCTACAAACATTGCGGAAAATTCTCAAACGTACTTATATTATTAAAACGAAGGTCAAACCTCAACTCTTGCATTTCTTATGGACTTCAAATCCAACCTATGAAATTTCAAAATCTACCAGACTGAAATCAACAGGCAAGCCAAGCAATAGAATAGCCAAGTACCTGGAAGCATACAAAAACAACTGGATTTCAGAAACATAGACTCATAAAATCCCAAAAAGAAAAAAGATACAAAGATATACATGTTTGATACGTACCAATCTGCCAGGATGAGAGCCTCGAACCATAATTATAATTGGCTCCAAAGTAACAATCATTGGTGGTGTTTATCCCATTTGGACAATTACATAAAAAAGAATTGTAAGCCCCGCCGGAAAAGTAGCCACAAATCCCATTGCTCATTTCACAATTAGCACATGAACTTGGATACTCATTATTCACACTGAATTTATATTTGAGCGCAATCCCATACTTCCAACTGTTAGGGTCAGACTGGCGCTCGTTGAAGCTGTAAAACCCAGAATAAGAACTGCAATGCAGTTTCTGCAAGTCCATCTCGAAAGCCGGCCCGAGATCAACAGGCGTGTAAACACAACATGTGGAGATTGGGAGGTTGATTGTGCTTATGGCCCTGCAAGAATATAAGAAGCTGCAAATTGAGGTGCCTTGGTTGTCACATAGGGACACTTTGGAGTTGTTGTTTTTATCAGTGTATAGGGTGCTTGATTGGAATATTGGAGAGGAAGAAGTTGAGCAGTCAAGTAAGGCGAAGATGTTGTCATCTTGGAAAGAGAAGGGCGAGTCCCAATCCAGGCCAAAGCCTTTGCTTGGTTGGGTGCAGGAACATGTTGACATGGAGGGGTCTGAGATGTACATGACTTTGTTGATGTAGTCTATGTTGGTGACAGGGTAGGAGCCTGTGTGCATTGTGAGCATGAGGTTGCCTTGGCTGCATGACACGTGCTGGTGGAAGCGCGGGTCGCCGCAGCCAAGGTCACTGCCAAATGGGAATTTGAGGGGGAGTTTGCCACAGGATCTTTGGCAGGTTTGGGATGAGATTGAGGAGGGTAAGAGGAAGATGAAGATGAAGGAGAAAATTGTTGTTGAAGGATGGTGCGGAAGCTTCATTGTTGAAGGTGTGGAAGGAGAAATTAATAAGATTGTTGAAGAGAGGATGAGAAGTGAAGCCTTGAAGTGGAACGCTATATAGCTGGCGAGTTTTCACTTAGAGGATTTTAGGAAAAGTGAGATAAAATAAAAAGGCTTCACCTCTATTAGAGAGATGATCGGTTGAGATGGTACAAATAGCAACATTGTACTAGAAAGAGGAATTTTGTTTAACAGGAATTGGTCTCTCAACACCACTTTCGGTGTCGAATGACTATTGGCTATCTTTTGATGCATCTGCTTTTCCTTATTATTAGATGCCATGTTTCCCCTGTTAGGCTACACACTCTCTCGTTATATATGTGTGTATACATATATGGCTCGCTAGTGTATTTTAATTAAGAGTCGTCGAGAGATCCGGAACAATTTTTAATTCAACCAAGGCAGGATGTAGTAAGTTAATAACCACTAATTGGATCTAACAGTACATGTACATGAACCAATCTCCCATGCATTCATGGGTCTCATAATCTCACAAATCACATGGCTTGTGACCCAGTTCCAAAGCACAATACTTAGGTGCACTGCTTGAGTGCACTCTTTTGTCCGATCCGTTGTGATCAACGAGTCTTTACCATACACATGACATAATCGGACATCTTTAGGCCTTCGTTTGAGATATGCACTTCTTTTTCCACTCTACTGTGATCAACAGGGTTGAAAGAGGTATAGAGAAGTTAGGATGTGTGATCGATGCATGGTAACTACAACAATGGTCCTTAATCAGAGTACTAACACTTAATATCATGAGTATGTGGAAGGACCTAAATCCAAATATTCTATAGTAAAATGATGCTTTCTTTGTTTTGAGATCCCAATGCCTAACCTACCCTACCCTTTCGACCCCAAAACAAGCATAGCCGCAGCTTTACACATAATTTTGAATGTCCATTTGCAAGCTCAACTTTTTTGATTGAGTAATGAGTATATATTCCCAGCATTTCAGCCTCTTATAAAAGATAAGAAAGAGAAAAGAGAAAGACCAAAAGCATAATGTTGGAATGAACCCAGATTGAAAATGCAGCAATGATGATATCTCATTCATTATTCAACTTTTCCCATTATTTATATCAACCAATTCATCATCAACATTATTTGTTGTTGTTGTTGCTGATAACAAATTTTTAATCCCAATTAATTCCCATTAATGCATATAAACTGGGGCATAATTGAGTTGGTAGGGTATTCAAAAATTCCAATTCTTACCCAAATGTTAAGAAAACTTCACATTAATCTGAACTTGTAAAGTTTTCATGTGCATATTCCACCAAGCACTGCTTCATTCAAGGAGTGTTTTTGTATACCAAATTTCTTTTTCTTTTTCTCATATTGTTAGTTTTATGACACTTGATTATATTAAAAACTGTATGAATATTATAAAAAATAATAAAATTAAATAAATAATAAATTAAATTAAAAAGAAAGGGACCTAATTAGAATTTAAGTCAACTAGATTTGAAGTAAAGGCATAAAACGACATGTCGTATAAACTCATTTATAATTCTAGCCCAAGCCCAAGTCTCCTTTTTAAAGAATCAAGATTTCATTCAAAAACTCAAGAAGAGAGTACATTTGCAGAAAGAAATGGGAGCAACCATGTAGGTGCTTTCTCAATCCAAAAAAAAAAATCATTACAGCTGCTTGCAAATTGAGTAAAGGTGTGTGCCACCTTATTAGAGCTCCTTGGGGACCATTGACATAAAGCTACTCTAAATTTTGCTTAATAGGCATTTTGCTTCTTCAAGTAAAAGACTATCCATTCCATTGCATTCCTCCGCCGAAAGAATATCAATTTTTATTTATTTTTTTTGGTCAAGGGAAACTCTATTCATTAATAATGGGAAACATTACAAAAAGAGGAAAACTCAATCCAAATGCAGCCCAACACCAACAAATAAAGCAGGCCCAAAGATACAAAGGCATATAAACAACAATACAAATTTATAAAAAAACTCAATCCTAGACATGTATTTATAAAAAAACCCAAGCACTATTTAAACATAGAAATACACCCAAAATCAACCCCAAAGTCAACTTTTTGGGTGTGTTTATAAATGGGTTTTGAGTGTGTGTAATGATGAGTTTTGGGTGTGTTTATAAAGTGTTTTGGGTGTTGGGTTTTTTTATAATTTCAACCTCCATTTTGGGTGTTTTAGTGAAATCCCCAAACAACAAAGCCCATAAAACATTAAACAAAGAAACCCTAGATCTAGAACAGGAACAGCCGCACCACAAAGCAAGCCAACAACACAGATCCACCACCACCAAGGAGAAGTAATCGATACCAAGGGGTACCAAAGAGGCCAACGGAAGATGGGGGTGAGCAAGCCACCCACGCGGAAGCGCTCCCATAATCCAAGAGTTAAGTGCAGTATGCACTTTAATAGCAGCCACGTACCACCACACACCACTGAGGAAGAACAACGGGAGCAGCAGACGTGGAACCGAGGAGCAAACGGTGGTGGTTGAGAACTGGCGACCAGACGAAGTTGCTGACCATGGGTGGACGGCATCACAACATAGAAGAGATGAGGAGAGTGTAGATGTAAGAAGTGGAGGGTGAAAAGTGAAGGTGGCTGGGGAAGAAAGGAGAGGGAGAAATAGGGTCTCACAAAGTGGGCAAAAAAAAAAAAAAAACAAACGAAACCGAAGAGGAGGCAAGGAGCCCCAGATCTGAGACAAAGCTCAGGGGAAAAACACCCATTTCGGGTGGGGAGAAGCCAGAGACTCTCAAAATGGAGGAGGAAGAGAACTCTCAAGAGAGCTCTCTTGTCTTTTTCTTTTCTGGATGCATTCTTTTGCGTCCATCTCTAGAATGGCACAAGTATATCCCATGTCAAGAGCAAAACACAGTCCTTCAATTGCAGCCATGAGCTCCGTTTACTTGACCCCATAACTGGCTTGGATTGGCTTAACATATGCACCCATAAAGTCACCACACTCATTTCTAAAAACCACACATACCCCACAAATTGAATCCCCATTCTTGAGTGCTCCATCTATGTTTATTTTATAGAGACCTACTGGTGGAGGCCTCCAAGAGCAATTTTTTTTCTGTGCCTTTCTACCCATTGCTATGGCAACACAAAAGCAATTATTATTTACATGAGATTAATTTTATTTATATGTATGATATTAATAAATAAAATTTTAGGTAGGTATAAAAAAATAAAATATAAAAAAAAAAAAAAAAAAAAAAATTTTGAAATTTTTGGTAATTTTTCAGATTTTTTTTGGTGCTTTTCCCTCATATAGCAACTCGGGGCTTGATGGACCCCAGCTCTTAACCGGGCTGGATGTCACCGCTGGAGCTGATTTTGGGAGATAGGGGCCTTTTTGCCTGGGCTGGGCTGTCCGCTGGAACTGCTCTTACGCCTATCCATTTATCACGCATCCCACCTCCTCTTCGAATCCATTCGTACAAAAAAATCGTCTCCGAACCCAATATCTTCCAAGAGACCAAGAATCAAACGTGGGCTCATCAGCTATAGCACTCTCCCTCATGTGCCCTCGATTGCTGTGGGCGGTCAGGTACTGTTCTGTAGCAGCGACGTCGTCTATCAGGTACTGTTCTCGCCTCTGGACCTGAGTCGTTAAATCTTTCGTTCCAGATCGATACCGTACCGCGATTGGGTACGCTCGATCCAGATCGAAATTCGTAGGGGGTGAGCGAAATAGGAAACTATGGTTTTGACGAGTGCGTGTACATTGAGTGTGAGTAATTGTTGCTTTATAGGTAATGGAGAAGAGCCGTTGCATCACCAGAACAGGGTCCCCAAAATTTGTCTTGATGGGTTCCTACAGATATGAAGAGGAGCACTATCTTCTCATTCTATTGTTTTCAGAGCTCCTCTCATCGTCCCTTCTTAAGTCTTGCTGTAAATTATTCGCTATTCTTTAGGAGATGTATAAGCCATGGACTCTCGTCAGGCTCAACAAATACGAGGCCTTTTCCTGATTATTCCCCCAAGAGACCGACCATCAACGATTCCGAACTTGTCCAACGCATCTCCAACACAATAAAGCTTCGCTGCTCTGAGCCCTTACGCCGTATTCTGAAGCCTTATGAATCTCAGTTCAGGTCTGATCACCTTATATGGGTCCTCATGAATATTAAGAATGACTATAAACTAGTTTTGGATTTCTACGACTGGGCATGCCTACGTAGGGACCCAACATTAGAAGCTCGTTGCGTTGTTGTACAAATTGCTGCAGCATCCAAGGATCTTAAAACGGCACATGAGCTTATTCATAAGTTTTGGGCAAAACCCAAGTTAGATGTTAGTGTTTCATTCACTCACTTTGCTGATCGGTTGATATACACTTATAAGGATTGGGGTTCAGATCCCCATGTGTTTGATGTTTTCTTCCAGGTTATTGTTGAAAGTGGGATGCTCAATGAAGCAAGAAAACTTTTTGATAAATTGTTGAGCTATGGGTTGGTTATCTCTGTTGATTCCTGTAATTTATTTCTTACTCTCCTATCAAGCACCTTTGATGGGATTGAGATGGCAATAAAGTTTTTCAATGAATATTATGAAGTGGGTGTTCATTGGAACACCGCATCATACAATATTATCATTCATTCTCTTTGCCGATTAGGGAAAATAAAAGAAGCTCACCATTTACTCCTGCAAATGGAGTTGAGGGGTTGTATACCTGATGTTGTAAGTTATAGTACTGTAATCAGCAGATATTGTTATGATGGAGAACTACAGAAGGTGTTGAAGCTCATAGAAGAAATGAAAATAAAAGGATTGAAGCCAAATGCGTATACCTATAACAGCATAATACTTCTTTTGTGTAAGACTGGTAACTATCTGAAGCAGAAGTGATATTGAGGGAGATGATGGCTCTGGGAGTACTTCCTGACAATGTCGTCTACACAACTCTAATTGATGGTTTCTGTAAGATGGGAAATATTCAAGCCGCATGTAGGCTTTTTGACGAAATGCAGCTTAGGAAAGTTATCCCTGATTACATAACGTATACTGCTATTATTCATGGATTTTGTCAAACAGGGAAGATGGCAGAAGCAGATAACCTCTTCCATGAAATGGTTAGCAGAGGGTTAGAACCAGATGAAGTTACTTATACAGCACTTATTGATGGCTATTGCAAAGTAGGTGAGATGAAAGAGGCTTTTTCTCTTCACAACCAGATGGTTAGTATGGGGCTTAGCCCAAATGTTGTCACTTATACGGCACTCGCTGATGGCCTTTGTAAACGAGGGGAGGTAGACATAGCAAATGAGCTTCTTCAAGAGATGTGCAGGAAAGGCCTTCAACTTAATGTCTTTACTTACAACTCAATTGTTAATGGCCTTTGTAAATCAGGAAATATAGCGCAGGCGGAAAAATTAATGGAACAAATGCAGGTTGCTGGGCCCCATCCTGATACTGTTACTTATACTACTCTGATGGATGCATATTGTAAGATAAGGGAGATGGCTAAGGCACACAATGTCTTGCGTGAGATGCTCGATAGAGGGCTTCAACCTACAGTTGTGACATTCAATGTGCTAATGAATGGATTTTGTATGTCAGGAATGCTAGAAGATGGTGAGGTGCTACTTAAGTGGATGTTAGAGAAGGGTATAGTGCCTAATGCCGGCACTTATAATTCTCTCATGAAGCAGTACTGCATTAGAAATAATATGCGTACTACAACTGATATGTATAGGAGCATGTGTGCTGGTGGGGTAATGCCTGATAACAACACCTATAACATTTTAATAAAAGGGCATTGTAAGGCAAGGAATATGAAAGAGGCATGGTTTTTGCATAAGGAAATGGCAGGAAAGGGATTTATTCCCACAGCAAGTTGTTACAGTGCACTTATAAAGGGTCTTTTTAAGAAAAGGAAATTTGCGGAGGCAAGGGAACTCTTTGAAGAGATGCGGAGACATGGTGTAGTTGCAGATAGAGAAACATACAACATTTTTGTTGATATGAACTATGAAGAAGGTAACATGGACATTACTCTTGAGCTCTGTGATGAAGTTATAGAAAATTGTCTTGTGGGCAAACCCTAGAATGAAGACACGTAGCTGAATCTTGTGTGGTGCTCTATTGAGATCTTTTGGACAGAAATTGTCAGTTTTGGTTTCTCTGAACTTGCATTTCGGGTACTACCATCATGGTAAATTTTCTCGGACCTATGCATTTTGTATGATCCAAGAATGTTGCACAGTTTTTCTGAAATGATGATGCTGAGTTCTTAATGGTATCATTTCTAGGTTTTTTCTTGTTACTTGATGAATCTGTGCTTCCTACATTATGAGATATATTTCGATTTGTTATCCAGGGACAGAGATATGCGTAGTACCTGGGTATCAGCATTTGATATGAATTGAAAGATAGATGAAGCTGGGCCCGTAGGGACTACACGTTCGATAAACATATCCAAGGAATCTCAAGATGGTTGTTTTGTTCAAACGTTTATCTGTTTGAATTGCATCACTGCTAAAATGATAAAAGAAGATACACCAGGTACTAATCTCCCCTGTAAAGTTGGGTATCCTGTTTGTACGTCTATTTTTTTTTGTTTTTTTACTCTTTTTCTTTCAAGATTTGGCATGGAAGGACGTTTATTTGCGGCTTATAGCATTATTCTGATCTTAACGACTTTGACTGGGTGCAGCAGCAATCAGTGGTAGAGTTGGAGTTGGGTGTTATGAGCAGAGAAGATGCAGGGGCGCTTGCATCCCAGAAAGAAACAACTGAAGCTGCTAATTCGGGGGAGGGACAGCTTAAGACCGAGAGCCACTGATGAGTGGGACGAATGGTCCTTGTTTGACTGAATCTATTTCGACATTATTGTAAACATAACTTAAGCACATATCAGCTAAGTGGATCAGAGTTAAACAAACGACAAGCAAATTTTATTAGCTGTTGGGAATTGATTCCCAAATGAATCAATTATGTGACAATTCAAAAGTTGACTTGATTGACTTAAATTTATGGTAGAGTTCAGGGGTCGCTGAAAAAGAAAGCATAATGCTGGATGACAGAAATTTCCTACTCGGTATCCTATCCAAGTAGGAAACTCAAAAACTCTGATTTTTCTTAAAAACAAGGAGTTCTCTAATTTATTTTTTAAGATTCAAAAAGTTGCTTGGTATGCAACTTGAAAATTGTTTTTGAATCTTTAAAATTTGAAAACTTGTTCGGTTGAATTCTTGAAAACAATTTTTTTTTTCATTTTTTAATAATTAAGATATGTTGATAAACATTATCAAAATTATATTAAACATACTATTTTAACATTTATATTTAATACCATACATATATGATCGAAAAGCTCGATTGGTTTTCAAGTCTTAAATAATACATATTAAATTAAAACATTCTAGACTAAATAAATTCTAAGACTAGTAATTCTAAATAGGGAGATTCATTAAAACACCCAAAATGGGGGCTAAAATTATAAAAAAAACCAACACCCAAAACACTTTATAAACACACCCAAAACCCATCATTACACACACTCAAAACCCATTTATAAACACACCCAAAAAATATACAATTGTTGATTTTGGGTGTGTTTCTATGTTTAAATAGTGCTTGGGTTTTTTTATAAATACATGTCTATGATTGGGTTTATTTATAAATTTGTATTCTAAATATAATCCGTCCGCATTACTCCGGCTATGTGATCTCACTCATTTCATTAGCATTGTCTTTATGCAAATGGATGTGTTTTTGTTAAATTTTAAAGGTTTCTGGATATATAGATATAAAGAAAGGGGAAAGGTAAAATTGCGTAAATCATTTTATGGGCTGCACAAAATACAAAGGACAATTGGCTTTGAAGTTTTTTTTTTTTTTTTTATGCCGAAGTTAGAAAGGGGGAGGGAGAAAGCCTCACGCACAGTACTAATACCATGCGGGTTTGAATCCAAGACCACTTAAGAGCGCACCATGGGATTTTGAATTCAAAACCACTTAAAAGCGCACCAAAAACCTGCGTCAATCTAATTGACACCACATTGATAAATTTGGATAAACAATATGAGTGAGGATGCTTGCAAACCTACAAATAAAAATGTGTACGCGAAATTAAAACCAACTCTTTATACCTGTTTCCAGAGTAACTCCAACTAACCCCAGCTGATAAATTAGTAGAATGTATAAATTTTAACACAACAAAGCATTAGCACCAGTGGTCTAGTGGTAGAATAGTACCCTGCCACGGTACAGACCCGGGTTCGATTCCCGGCTGGTGCAAACGTTTTCCTTATATTCCCAGTGATTATTTTTTTCTTTTTAAACGTAGCATAATAGCATTTACTCTGGTATGAATGCTGGAAAAATGAACCAAAAAATACACAACTTATTGACTTTGTCAGCTATGTCATGTCGGATCAAATGGGCTAACACTCACACACGCACAAGAAACTCTCTACGAAGGGAATGACCGGATACAGAATAGCCACGCAGCACAAAGAGTTCAGAGTTCAAATGTCTTCTACTTACGTATTTTGTTCTCTGCCAACACCACACACCAACCTCCCCTTCCCTTCATTTCCTTTCTGAAATCAATCCCATCAAAAAGGTAACCGACATAAATGGTTGCAAACGCTAAAGACAACCCAACCATCACTTGCATTGCATGTTACAAACGTTACCGCCAAAAAAAAGTCAAAATGCTCTCCCTTCTCTCTTCCTTTACCTTTCCCTTCTTTCTCTCTCTAGAAACCCTTTCCTAAGCTCCAATGAACAAAATCCCAAATCCCTTGCCCACATCCATGTTCTCATCTAACCAACCATGGTCCTTATCCACCACTAACATATCTGTTGACGCTTGGTATAAACCGAGTCCATCTTCTCAATGAGAACAAAATACGTGGACCTCGCTAGTCACGTGGCAAAAGTGACCATCCAGTCCCCTTTGCCAACCACGTATGTCGGCTCAATGAAAACAAATGGTCATGCAGTCAATTTTGTTAACTTTTTATGTTAAATGCAGGGGCAAAATGGTATTTTTATATTAAAAACAAAAAAATTAATAAAAAATCATATCTTTAAAATAACAATAAAAGAAAATCAAATTAAAACTAACCCAAAAAATAATAATAATAAAGTTTGGGGGGAGTAGAAATTAGGATAGAGGGGGAGAGAGAGTTTAATTTAATTTTTTAGTTTTTTAAATTTTTTTATTCATAAGTTAATCAATTTTGATACAAAAATACCAGTTTGCCTCTGCATTTAACAGAAAAGTTAACAAAATTGACGGCATGACTATTTGTAGTAACGAAACTAAAGTTAAAGGACCACGAGAACCATTTTGGAAATTGAGATACTCAAATGCAAATCAGGTCTAAATTCAGGGACTAATAAAACGATTAACCCTAAAACAAAATGTTATTATCTTTGTTGGAGCTCTTGTCCATATGTCGTCGTCTTATAGGTGCGTACTATCACCTGGCAAGTGCCATGTGGTAGTACCGTACCTCCACTTACTTGAATTCTTCCTAATCTCTTGGCTTCTTTCTCCTTCCATTACTTTCTTCAAACACACCCAACAAACTTTTCTTTCTTTACAAACACCTTGCCCATCTTCCTTGTCTCTGATCCCAACCTCCTATATTTCCTTCATGACTAAGAAGACGACCAATCCAACGAACATTCCCTGAGCATCGGACGGTGGACTTTGATTTCTGGTTGCCTTTGGCGCCATTACTTTTTTTTTCTTTCTTTTTTTTCTTTTTTTGTCGATGACATTGAATTTGGTTGCAAAAGAGCACCATCCCAAAAAGGCGGCCTTAATCAAAGTACATCACAAAGGTAAAAACAGGATAAACAAAACACAGTGTAGATGTTTGTGCAAATATTCTCGCGGAAGAATATCTGCTTGTAGATTCTTCAACCTTTGATCTTCCTTTGCTCTCTTCCTCGATTCATGTAAAAAGACCGGAATAAATAGACCACACCTTGGGGGGTGTTAGCCAAAGGTTCCAATGCCTAAGTTAGCTCGATTGAATCTATGTGGAACAATAGCTAAAAAAAGGGTACGAAGATTTCTCTAGGTTGAGAACCGGGTAGCCGGAGCCATGTGGAGAAAATATGGAGAGAGGAGAGTGGTGAGGCCGGCGGCAAGGCCGTCGACTAGTAGAAAGAGAGAGTGGAGCTTCGGGTATTTTTCTCGGGTTTTAGAAGTACCTTGAGAGTTGAATGAAGCCATGCATTTATAGGAGCCTCGGAAGGAGTTTATTCTTTCCCCAAGTTGCAGAGATTGAGTCCATTAGGGATTTGATTGGGGTCAAATCTCCTAATTTGATGATGATATCCCCAAATTGGTGATATTATCTTATTAAATAAAGATATTATCCCATATTTAAGATATTATCCCTATTTTTAATATTAATTCATTAGCCAAATAAATGGGCTCAATTAATTAACCTAGGGAATATTCTTCTTATCCAAGTGGCGTCTCTTGATTGGAGACTAAAATATTTGCTCCCACACTAGACATAGTGGTAACAGAACCAGGGACAAGGCCGACCCTAACTCTTTGGTGGCCCTAGGCTAGAAATGAAAATGAGACCCATTTCTCTTTCATTCTCCTAAATATAATAAACTACATAGAAAAAAAATTATGCAATTAAATACAATTTGGATAAATAAACACAGCTCCAGTATTAGTCATATAATCATTGCCCTAATATGAAAATAAACAAGAATGAGGATACAAATAATTTGCACTCTTTCATATTTCCTCGCTAAATAATCTACTTGGATAAATAAAAGAATTTCTAGTCCCTATTGGCTTTCTTTCATTGATTGCTAGTTTTAGCATTTCAATACTTAAATACATGTAATTGATGTTCGTATATTACATAATTTTCATTTGGATTCTTCAGAAACACTTGTAATCAAATTTGGGGCCTCCAAATGCCAAACTATTGAAATTATTCTCCTCTAGAATCATATTCTTCAACTTGGTACATAGTATTTATAATTTGGGGCCCTACAAATATGAGGCCCATGGCCTTTGCCCTCTTTGCCCACCCTCAGGGCCAGCACTGACCAG